TGTGGGGATAAAATCTTGTACAACCAGACCAGAAACAGAGATCAGATCAGAGGGGATCTGAGTGGCTAAAAAAGCTACTATGAAAAGCTGAGAAAACAGTTTTCAGCCAACGATCCGGCGTCAGTATGGACTGGTCTGAAGAACATCACCTTGTACAAGACACCACCCCCACAGTCTGTGGAGTATCTCTGATCTACACTTCACTCATTCAACTAAGCCCCCTGCAACCCCCCTCCCTCCCCCACCATTCAGCCTGCGCTTAAGGTCTGTGTAGAGGATGTGAACCGGGTCTTCAGACGACAGAAGACTAGAAAAGCTTCAGGCCCAGATGGTGTTTCACCTGCCTGTTTAAAAGTCTGTGCTGACCAACTGCCCTCCATCTTCACACAGATCTTCACCAGATCACTGGAGCTGTGTGAAATTCCCTGCTGCTTCAAACGCTCCACCATCATTCCAGTCCCCAAAATCACTGGACTTAACGACTACAGACCTGTCGCTGTCACGTCTGTGGTCATGAAGTTATTCGAGCGACTAGTCCTGGCCTACTTTAAGGACATCACTCGACCCTTGCTGGATCCTCTTCAGTTTGCCTACAGAGCAAACAGGTCTGTGGATGATGCAGTCAACATGGGACTGCATTATATTCTGCAACACCTCGACAGACCTGAGACTTACACAAGGATCTTATTTGTGTACTTCTGTTCGGCCTACAACACCATCATGCCTGACCTTCTCTCAGACAAACTCACACAGCTCTCCGTGCCCACCTCCATCTGTCAGTGGATCACCAGCTTTCTGACAGACAGGCAGCAGCTAGTGAGGCTGAGAAACTCACATCCAAGACTATCACCATCAGCACTGGCGCCCCTCAGGGATCTGTTCTCTCCCCACTGCTCTTCTCCCTGGATACAAACGGATGCACTGCAACTGAGCACCAGAACTGCCAGGCACAAGAACAGTTTTTTCCCGCAGGCTATATTCAGCCTGAATAATTAAAACTTTCATAACTATATATTGTCCATTATAACTGACTCATTTATATATAGCATCTGAAAATTGTACATTTGTAAACTACATAAACTGTATACTTGTAAATAACATAACTGTACATTCATTAAAACAATAGTTTTTTTCTCTATATTTCTACTTCTGTATTATATTGCATTATTTAATTTTCTGTTTTTTTATGTTAGTGTTATATTTCATCATTTTGTGTGTGTGTGTGTGTGTGTGTGGTTCCATTCACGCGTCACAAATGAACTGCACATATCTAGAACATGTATGGGTGTGTTAGGTTAAAGAATGTGGCTGACAGAAAACCTCCAGTGTCTTTACACACCACAAAGAAAAAAACTGAATAATGAATATTAAAAAAACATGATTTTTATATGATTTTTACATGACTTTTATATTCATGCTTTTTTTCCCCATAACCGAGTTGTTGTGCATGTGTGTCAGTCGTTCAGCTCGCTGCCCCAGAAGCCCCTCTCAGTCGACCTGACGGTGGAGAACGGACAGAGGTTAAAGGTCATCTACGGCTCTCACTCTGGGTTTCATGCTATCGATGTGGATTCAGGGACGCCCTTCGATCTTTACCTGCCCAGTCATGTGAGTATTCTTCACATTTCTGGCACATTTCACATCAATAAAACCTGCAACTCAGACAAGTTTAATAAGTGAAGTACTGCTGTTACATTGTGAATAAATCTCTACTGTTGCAAGTTTGAACTGTCATCATCTGTGTGCACATTCACATTAGCATTCACTCTCTGCATGGGAAATTTTTGGGATGTGCTAGCATGCTAGATAGCGGAGTAAACCTGGCAATAATCAGCTGTAACGCTGTTATAATATGCGTTCCAGTGTTGACTGCACTGATGGTGGGGCAATGTATATCTGCCACCTTTTATAGAAATTATAGGGTTTTTTTGTGCTATATTTTGTTGGTAGCCTGATGCAGTTTGTTTAGTCACTTTGGCTTCTCACGTGTAACAGTGTTCACATTGTGCTTTCATATCGCTAAAGAAACCTCGACCTTGCTGAACCATTTGTTCAAAGAACTCATTTATCATCATGAAATACCATAGAAACATTAATTTAGGTAAATGCATCACTGCAAGAGAGAATAATACAGACACAGTCAATCAGTGAACAAATTCAGACATTTACAGTATTGATGAAATATAATCAAATAGGTTTATTTGAATCAAATCAAAGAAAAAACTACAGTACAGTAAAACAAGAAGTGCATTACAAGAGCCTGCAGACATAATGTCAGATCTGAAAACATCGTCTGGAAAACTGGTATTTGGGACCACAGAAACCGTGCTGATGTAGTCCAGTTTGTTCATGTTCAATGGTAATTGGTGTCAGTGGATCCCATTATTCTGAAACATGATCTTCATGACACTCAATGCAACAGTTATCATTTTGAGCAGTTGTTTCAGTTGATGGTTCAATCAACAACAGTGTTGATGTTGCAAAATTCATCCAATATGATAAAAGTCAATACAAATGTCAATGGTCACTCTCCAGCTAAATTCAGTTCAAGTTTTATTCTCATCTGAAATGAAGAAAAAACCTTGAGAGAAGCCAGGCTATTAAGGGATAACATTTCAAAACCATCACATATAGATTTGTTGCACCTTTTCTCACAAGGAATCAAAATGATTTTTATTGTGGGGTTAAAGATTCACCCTTTGTTTCATGAGATTCACCCTTAAACAAAAGCATGCAACTGAAAATGCAGTGACCTGAAAAAATTGCACACATTTCTTTTCTGCCAAACACTACAATTTAGAGCTTGTATAAATATGCACAGCATGTATAACATAATGTTGTGATGCTATAGAGCTGCGTTTTCTCCGCTGCTGACGTCCCCACACTCCCACACAGCCGCGTACCCTTCACAGAGAGGAAGAGCGATGAGTGTGGTGTTCACCCACGGCTCTGCCGCCCCCTCCAGCACCGGCCCACACTCCAGTGAGCCGTCCCACATACTTACAGACTAGTTCACCCTCACAATCTGTATGTGTGCTAGTTTCTCCGAACTGATCTTGTGTCCAGAAATAACTCTGCAGGCTTCGCTACATTCCCAGAGCATAAGCCCATTGAAATGACCTGTTATTTGACAGTTTTTTTCTAATAACAGGCAGTAGATAAATTTAGCGTGAACTAGTGGTGAGAACAGAACTGGAGGCTGGGCTGCACTAGATCATGTAGCTTTCCATACCAACATTTTCTCATCCATTCCCTCCCATTCTGTCGTTCATCCGTTCTGTCACTTTTCCACATTCTCTCTCACACACACACACACACACACACGCGTTGCATTTTTTTCATCTTTCACACAGTTGTTGTCTTTCACTTGCACACAGTCATTAGCAAACTCTTTCTTGCGCTCAAGCTGCTCTTTGTGTGGTGTAAATCTGCCTCTCCCACTTGGAAACACACGCTCTCTGTGGCGGCGTGTTTGCGTGGCTGGTGCTCATGAGAATCCCGCGGCAGAGGATAAGGATAGCTCTGCGGCTCTGGATGCCCGTGTTGATGCTCAGGATTGTGGTGGCTCTACAGAGGGATGGCAGCACAGTGTGCGGGAATTTATTTCTGAGTCAGGCAAGTACAGTGGGAGGCGTGTGATTGTGTTAATGACAGGCATGTAAGTACAAACCACTGAGAATATCTGTTCTAATTAGGGCTGCACGATTAATCGCATGCGATATTTAACGCGCATCTTATCAGTAAAGCCGGTTCTGTAATCAGCGGTAAATCTCCATCACCTGCGGGCTTTCACATTGAGCAGCATTAACTACACAGAGCCGTTGTTCACTGACGAGTTGCGCAAAACCACGTTCATATTCTTGCGATTTTTTGCGCAGCTCGTCAGTGAACAACGGCTCTGTGTAGTTAATGCTGCTCAATGTGAAAGCCCGCAGGTGATGGAGATTTACCGCTGATTACAGAACCGGCTTTCTGACAAGATGCTCGTTAAATATCGCATGCGATTAATCGTGCAGCCCTAGTTCTAATGCTTTGCTGTCATGAGCTTGGGAGACATGCATGCAAAAAATGGTTAGGAAAATGTTTTATATTAGCTTAACGCATACTGCAAGTTTTGATTTTAAAACCCTAAAATGTGTTTACCCTCACTGTAAAGGAATAAACAGACTTACATGGTTAGTGCATTTACGTAATTAGTGGTGTGTGATAAGGACTTCATCTTCATTTTATGAACACTAAAATAATGACGTATTTCAGTTGTTACTATTGCTCTTATTGATTTGAACAAACCCTTAACACTAATTAGGGATGCACGATATCCGATATGCTGGTAATTTTTAACTCATTTTGGTCGATAGCCGATGCCGATACCGATACCGATATACTTTGTTTTGTTTGGAAAGAACACCAAGTCTTTCCTGTGCAGAGATTTTAAACTCATTATTTTTAATTCTGGCATTTTATTTGTAGATTTAACATTTGTAAAGCAAAAGAGCTGTAAAAATTCTGAAAATCTTTTAGAGCTCCTTGTATTTAAGTTTTCATAATTTGTTAAAAAATATAGTACACATTAATGAATACATCTGTATATATAAAATTATTTAATTTGCAAGTGTCACGTTTGTGATTTTTATTGATGTAAGCTATAGCTTCTGACCTTTAAATCAAAACAGGCTCATGATTTTATGACATTAGTTACTGCTTTATATATTCAGAATCACAATCCTAATGCTATCTGTGTATTTTACTTTTCATTTTATTACAAGTAGGCCAACAGCGCCCCCTAAATAAATTAAAGGCATTAAGAACTGGGGGAGGCTGCTGCTGCTGCTGAACACACTAGAAGAGATATCATGCCTAGGGGGAGGACAGAAAGCAAAAATGCACTAAAAACCTCTCTAAACACTGAAGCAACGCTCTGGCAACCACCAAGTACAATATTCTTAACTCTAACCCTGAGGACCCATGGCTCTGCACAGTTTTGTATGTCTTCCTTATTTGATTTAGAGCACCATAGCAATTGCATGGCATTGCACTAAAAACCTCTCCGTGGCTCAGCCTTGACTTTGTTCACACAGTCAGCATTTGGGATTGACGCATTTACATATCATCATGTTTAATTATCATATCAGTTGTGCTGTAGGGTAGTCCATTAAGGAGGTGACAGATGGATATAGGCGTAGATAAGAATAATCCCAACACAGTGCCTTTTTTGATCAGATAGGGGTGCTATTTACAAATAGGTGAGGAGCAGAAAAGAATAAATAGAAATATATATACATATATACTGTGTATATATATATATATATATATATATATATACACAAATGCTAAACATAGTACACTCTTGTTATTTGTGAAGAACCAAGAAAATGTAAACAGTAGAAAAAATGATTTAGCTTTAACAACTCACAGATGCCCTCCTCTCTGCAGGAAGGCTGGGAGAGTCTGCCTTAAACTATATTCCCGGCAGAACAGGTACTGGAATAAGCCAAATCTACAATAGGGTTAAAGTTGAAAATGCGTTAAACAAATGTCTAAAGAAGAAACTAACAACAGTTTAAAAAAGATATGGTGAATGTAAAAATATGAAACTGTTTTCATACATGACACATTTGTAAAATTATAATAACACCCAGTTAAAATACACAGCACAACCCAGAAGTGGGCAATAGTGGCCATGCCATTTTATGAAGTGAAGTGACATGAAGGCCAAATATCATTACTCATACTTGGAATTGTCCTCTGCATTTAACCCATCCAAGGTAGTGCACACACATTAGGAGCATTTAGAATGTCAGAGGAGAGTCATAACCTTTACATAGACCATAAGAATCATTCAAACCATAAAAATACATAATAAAGGACCAACTGTATGTGTAATGTCCTTATTTCGTAATAAAGAAAGAAAACCATGACAAGGATCTTAGGAAACAAAAGGGCTATATATACACAGGGGTAGCAAAGCTAACTAGATATGGCTGAAAACAATATGACTAACGAGAGAGAGAACAGGAAACAGGAACTAAACAGAAGTACGAACTAAAAGAATTTATAAAACAAGAGCACAGAGCCCCCTACTTAAGGGGCAACTCATGACACCCCTAAACACACAAAAAAACAAGTCCAGGAGGCTGATCGAACTGAAGGGTACTAGGGAGAGGGATTGAGGGACAGGACCATGAAGTGGAAAAAGACCTGGACAACACGGGGTCCTGATGGAGCAAGGGACCAAGGCGGAGCTGGTGGAGATGGAGATCAAGGCTGAGCAGAAAGTAGCTGGGGATCAGGAGACCATGGCGGAGCAGAAAACCACTGATCAGGAATTAAATATAAATACTGTTCAGTTTCTTCCACAGACTGATTGTTTCATGTATTTACACATCAATGTATCGTCACGAGCCGCAGGGTTTAATTTGGTTTTGTTTGTGTATGTTTTTTTACTCTCAAAGCTGTGATTCCCATCCACTTGCTTTATAAGACTGACAGACTGCAACGGTTTGACTTAAAAATCTTCGTTTGTGTTCTACTGAAGAAACCAAGTCACCTACATCTTGGATGCCCTGGGGGTAAACAGATAAACATCAAATTTTCATTTTTGGGTGAACTATCCCTTTAACCTCTAGGACCATCAGACCTGTTAACCTCCAGGACCACCAGACCTGGGACCTCCAGGACCACTAGACCTGTTGACCTCCGGGACCACCAGCCCTGGGACCTCCGGGACCACCAGCCCTGGGACCTCCGGGACCACCAGCCCTGGGACCTCCGGGACCACCAGCCCTGGGACCTCCGGGACCACCAGCCCTGGGACCTCCGGGACCACCAGCCCTGGGACCTCCGGGACCACCAGCCCTGGGACCTCCGGGACCACCAGCCCTGGGACCTCCGGGACCACCAGCCCTGGGACCTCCGGGACCACCAGCCCTGGGACCTCCGGGACCACCAGCCCTGGGACCTCCGGGACCACCAGCCCTGGGACCTCCGGGACCACCAGCCCTGGGACCTCCGGGACCACCAGCCCTGGGACCTCCGGGACCACCAGCCCTGGGACCTCCGGGACCACCAGCCCTGGGACCTCCGGGACCACCAGCCCTGGGACCTCCGGGACCACCAGCCCTGGGACCTCCGGGACCACCAGCCCTGGGACCTCCGGGACCACCAGCCCTGGGACCTCCGGGACCACCAGCCCTGGGACCTCCGGGACCACCAGCCCTGGGACCTCCGGGACCACCAGCCCTGGGACCTCCGGGACCACCAGCCCTGGGACCTCCGGGACCACCAGCCCTGGGACCTCCGGGACCACCAGCCCTGGGACCTCCGGGACCACCAGACCTGTTAACCTCCAGGACCACCAGACCTGGGACCTCCAGGACCACCAGATCTGTTAACCTCCAGGACCACCAGACCTGTTAACCTCCAGGAGCACCAGACCTGTTAACCTCCAGGACCACCAGACCTGTTAACCTCCAGGACCACCAGACCTGGGACCTCCGGGACCACCAGACCTGTTAACCTCCAGGACCACCAGACCTGGGACCTCCGGGACCACCAGACTTGAGGCAGTGGATGCTGCCTCTGTGCCTGACAGAGATATATGCATGGCACACACAGGATGGTGGTAGCATCATCGAAAGCTCTGAGGACATTGGAAGGACCTGCGGAACCGCAAGACCTGAGACCTCCAGGATCACTGGACATGGGACCGCCGGACTACACAGAACTCTGATATTGAAATACTATGTACATTATTTATTTATCTATTTATTTTTTAAGATGCAACATCTGATTTGACTTTGTATTAAATTTCCTGTGATATGAATTGATACAGGTTTCATTTGCTTGTCTATCTTGCAGATAGTTTTTTCTTGAATAGAACACATTAATTTATAAACAATCAGTTGGTATATAAGAAAAATAAGTAGTTTGTTTCATCAGGGCTGCCTCTTAGCTTGATATTACAACCTAATATATGTAGCTGTATGTTATTTATGACCGTTTATTTCAGACAAAGTGCTTGTCCTTCCAATTTCCAAAGTTTGCTTCTCTAAAAATGTTGTTATATGTGCTCCTTTGTTTAAAAAAAACATAATTAAATTGACTTTAATTAAATGTAAATTGTACTTTCATGTAATGACCAGGTGACCTGCTGTATTATGTGCTGTGACCAGTAAATGTACTTAATCTCTTTATAACGGAATGTCTGTGTGTTTCAGATCCAAGGTGTGATTCGGCCGCATGCCATCATCATCCTCCCCAGCAGCAGTGGGATGGAGCTGTTGGTGTGTTACGAGGATGAGGGAGTCTATATTGACACCTGTGGCCGCATCACCAAGGAGACGGTGCTGCAGTGGGGGGAGATGCCCGCCTCTGTGGGTGAGCTCCAGCACTCCACACACACACACACACACACACACAAAGACACAAAGACTGACATGCAGTGATTATCCATGTGTAATGCAGTATGGATGTTTTCCTCATTGTTTGACTCTCATATGTAGCTGTCTGATTGTGTTTTGGCCGTGAGCTATATTACTCCTCTAGAGGTGCACTCATATTAAGGAAGTTCTCGTAATGACTGATGTGCATGAGATTCTAAATGCGAAAATGCAAAACAAGTCATTTGGATGGATGAGTCATCTCACTTCCTACATAGCAGCAGATCTGTGAGGAGCTCCAGTGTTAAAGCCTGTTCACAATAAAGACGCTAAAGTTCTCCAAATCCACACCACAACTAGAACGATGCATTTATCTTCTGAAAACATAATAATATGCTGATATCATTATTGATCTTGCCTGTTGCCTTTACGAGAACATTCACTGCATCTTCATTCCATCATCAGTTTCTAGATTTCAGGACTGAAAAAAAAAAATAGGATCTATATTTTTTTCTAGTCTATATTGTAATTGATCCAACACGCCTTCAATGGATTCCGGTGTGAGACAGTATGTTTCATGTTGGAAATGCTGTAGTCAGTTTAATAAACAAGAGACGCAGTGCTCAACATTAAACAGGGTTCCCACGCTTCTTGAAAGTACTTGAAAGTACTTGAAGCCATAATTTTCGCACATCAGGGAGCCGTATCAATATATGATAGTGGGGTATTGAAATCGCATTTGAATAAGTGCTTGCTGTTCAATTTCACTTTCGATTTCGCAATATAGCGGCACTCTGTGTAAAGGGAGCACTTACAGTGCGTGCATAATTATTATGCACGTTGATATTCTGATCATATTTTTTTCCAAGCACATTTTACCAATTCCAAACCACATCAATCTTAATAACTACTATTATTTTTGTATTTAATCATTTATAAGTGATATATATAATTGTCCATGAAGGCTGGAAATGAAAAACACCTTATTAAGGTGTGCAGAATTATTAGGCAGGTTCTTTTCCGGATGAAATGAGCCAAAAAAAAAAAAAGAAGATATTTAACTCTGACTGAGAAGTCAAAAATTATTACATCCACATGAGAAATAATAAAAACTAATGCAATACAGAAATGTCAAAGTTAAGGCATGACCATTGGTCAGCAAAATGCTCA